TTGTGTGAAAAGTTGAACACGGTGATTATAACCATCACAGACAAGAATCATGTCTGGACCATAAACAGCCGTTCCACGTACACCATTCAATTTACCGTCTCCTTCTCCCTTATCTCCAAACTTGTACAAGAAAACTCCATTCTCATCAAAAACACTAACATAGTTTCGGTAACAAGATACAAAGTATTTCCCGTTATTACAGGTGATGTACTCAGGCTGTTCATTATCATCAGGCATATCAAACTCATGAACTAAATCGTTTTGTTTACTGAACACCTTGATACTTGGTTTGATACCCAGTTCTTGTTTACCCCCACAGCACACTGCGATGTTTTTATCATCGTTAACACACATTCCACGCGGTACAAACCATTGGTCAGGTCTGTATATAGTTCTTATACAAGAACCGTTTAAGTTAAACTCTCGTATCGGCTGCCTTTACCGTCTGTTGCATATTCACTAACAATTATTCGGCTGTCTCCATTAAACATCACTCCACATGGATAATACTGTTGACCTTCTCTTGTTCTTCTGATGACAAACTTTCTTAAATAGTTTCCATCAAGACTGAATATTTGAATACGGTGATTACCCCATTCAGCAATGGCTATCTCTCCATTATCACTGACTGCTATCGAAAGTGGAAAAATAAACTGTCCTCTATCAGTTCCATTTCGTCCAAAGACTTTCAAAGGTTTGAACAACTCCTTCACATCGAGTATATCTGCGTTCTGAGGCGAGTTCATGATCCTTTCTCCTCCAATATTCACCAGAATTTCGTGCCGTCCATTTTGTTGTGGTTTAAAACTAACACGGTATATTCCAGTTTGCTCTTCAAACACTTTCTTTTCCACCTCGTTGCCTTCCGCATCTTTGATTCTAACATCAATAGACTCGATTCTTGTGGGACACACTTCTCCTTCTGTATTCCTGGTGATTATATTGCACTCGTTTATAAAACAAGGAGGACCTTTCTTGACTGATTCAATTGTGGATCGAGCAGGGTCCGTCACATTCTTCACAATCCTGCCGATGTCTTGCAGCGATTGCATGACTTGCTCTGTCACAGAGTAACGTGTTGTCACGTTACGCTGGATTGGCTGACGGCATAAAATCGAAGGAGCTTCAATTAACATTTTACCTCTTTCTAGAATCATTTCCTTATTTTCTATTTCCTCATATGCTACATCTCTCTCCAACAGTGCTCGGCAGTGTTGCACAAATTCATCTGAATCTTTTACTCTTGTTCGAATAGCCGTTTGCTCTTCATTATTTTCTGTTGTTAATTCCTGGAGCGTCTGCTTCAGTTCCTCCTTTATCGCTGTTCCATGTTCTTTGGCCATATCACAAATCATTTTAACCACATCCTCAACATCCCTCTCTGCCACATCTATCTCTCTTTGAATTCTCTCTATGTTTTCTTTAGATTGTTCTAATTCTTTTTGGTCGTTTTGTTTCCGTTGCTCGACTCGATTCATCGCTCCTTCGATAAATTTCCTTGATTCCTGTCCAGCGTCTTCTAAGCTCTGCAGTTGGTGGTTTTGATGATCCAAAGCAGCACATTCTTTACAAACGCTGAGTCTACATGTTTCCTCTTGACAGTAGTATTCCAGTTTCTTTTTTTCATGGGACTTGCACACCATCTGGTTTTTGATAAAACTGTTTACAAATTTCTCCTTAAATTGATTGAGCCTTATTGGTTGGTGTTCATCTTGTATTTCTTTGAATAACCGATGGGCCTTGAAGCAAGTCTCACATATCAAGTCATTACACTGCACACAAAATGCTACCAAGACTTGCGGATGTTCACAACAACGAACACAATGAGATACTGATCCTGGTTGATTAGTTTTACTTTTCATCGAATGAAGCAACAGCAGGAGAGAATCCAAGTAGAATGAAGAAGGAAGCTTGGAAGGATCGCCTTCTGGCACAACTATCGTCGTCTTGCAAATCGGACAGTTCATTCGATTGTTGCCTTGATCCCCGCTTGTCTCGTAACACTGAGCGATGCATTGTGTACAAAAACTATGAAGACATAACAGAGTCTTGGGATGGGTAAAT